GTAGTCAAGATGCAAGCATGCTGTGAATTCATACTTGGGAATAATTATGTTCTCTGGCTTTTTTTTCTTTACTGATTATATCTAGCCTTGATTTTGCTTTCCTGGTTGATACTGAGCACTGAGTTAGCAAGTTCTTTACTTTATGGTCTACTTCCTGAGCAGTAATGGTTAGCTTAGAGCCCATCATTTTGTGTGTGAACTTAGGTTTAAATTTCAGAAATCCAAGTAGCCTATATCATGCTTTATCCACATGACTCTCAGTGAAACCAAAAAAACAGAATGAGTATGCATATAACCTGACTTGGGGTGAACAGATGATGAGCATCTTCCTTAACACCATTTACAGACAGTGATGACATAAGGTCTTGGCATTGAAATTTAGAGAAAGAATTGAAAAATGGGATGGCTTAAAGCATGGGATTACACTTAGGGCCTGAGTTCCTTTTATGCTGAGAACAGATCATAGGTAGTCTTTATTAAAATGAGGAAAAGAAAAGCAGAAATCTTTGTAATTGGAAAAAAAAAATGCTATTAAATATACTTTATGGCATGCTGAAGAACCACTACATTAAATGTATCCTGTAACCCAGGCAACTTTATTCCAAGTCTGTGTGACATCCCAAATGTGCATTTTTCTGCAGTTCATCAGTAGAATACCTTAGCAAAATGTGTTAGGTAATATATAAGTTTAAAATATTTATGGTTTAATTTATTGGTGGACCAAGAAGAGAGATTGAGGGGCATTACAATTTTGGGGTTATTTCCTGTGAGGAAAAATTTTAATTCTGAAGGAGTAGGGGAGTTTTTGGTGTTCAAAGTAAAAAAATTTCGTGGACCCATCCATCAGATCCGTGTGATATTAGGATGACTGCTCAGCATTCAGACTGAGTATTTTATTTCACATATAGTCAAATTTCGATTGCTTAGGGTCTCTTGTCTCATTTCCCAGCCTTAGAATGTATTTCCCAGCCTTAGAAATGCACGTGCAGGCTAGTACCAAGGGCTACTCTGGGAAGAAGCAGGAAACACTGCATCTCATCATAAATTAATGGAGTGGAAAATCAATGCTTTGATGAACATAAGGCCATTGTAAATGAAGCCTGAAATATGAATGAATACTGCTTTATTGTGGTAAAAGTGAAATGGTTGATTCTTACAAGAGGAAAATATTAGAGATTGATAGATACCTCCAGGCAATTTTACTTTCCAGTGGAGATGTATAGTACCATTTGAAAAAGAAAAAGAAGGTATTTCATGCTATAAAAACATTTCTATATTATGATCTGTGAAAAAAGCTTTAAACGCAATATGTAGGTTTCCTGCTTGATTGAATCCTGAAAATATGAAGACTAATCCATTTTACACATTCATTATTAATATATAACTCCAGGTTCTATAATTCTCTTCTGGTAAAGAACCAAATATGTTAGGAAGAATAATTTTTTTTTTTGTCTTAAAATCTTTTTAGGTGAATTTTGAAAGTAAAAAAAACCTGTTTGCAATTAAGTTACACATTAAAATACAAGACTTCTTATGAAGATAATACAATAAATTTTAGGTTTTGTCCAAACACGGCTAGGTAAGTGTGAAGCCTACTTAAATTCCTTTCTCATGCAACAGGTGAGAAATAAGGAAGTACTATATTCTTGTTAGAAGAAATAACCTTTGCTAATTTTTATTTTGAGTTTTGTAAAACTGATTTGCCCTACTTTATTCACTGGAAGACAGCACAAGTATGCACCTTATGCAACCTTCCAGGCTTTTTCCAGCATTTGTTGTGATCAGTCATTAACATTGCAGTTAAGGACTTTTTTGTACTGGATGTCCTCAGTGATGCCCATTTCAGGAAGTGATTTACTATCTTTCAGACATAACTTCATATATGTAGTCTTGTATAATTCCTGTACATTTTAAGAAATCCAACAGAATTAGTGTGTTAGTATAAAAGGGTTCATACCTAAATTATTTCTACGTTATTTTCCCAGTCTCATTTCTGTTTTATTGTACTTGCTGAATGACTAAAGATTCTTTGTTTTAGACTATTTTGCTTCCTGTACTTCTTGAAATCTAAAATATCCTTCCTTGCTGGTCAATCCTTTTACCCCATTTTATAGTCTTCTTACTCTTTTTATTGTTCTTGAAGCAACAATTCATCCAACCCTCTCATAAAATTCTTCCCCCTACCTGTGATGATGGAGTTACTGTTATAGCACGTTTGACTGCGATGTTCTCTTGTGATGTGCTGTGTGAAGGGGAGAAATTATCCTGGAAAAAGGGGCCAGATTAGGAATTCCCAAATATTTTTTTCCTACTGCATCTTGCATTCCTAATACGGAATGTAACAGTGGGATGAGCGTGCTCTTTTTTAGCTCAGCATGTAGTCTAAGGGTAAAAGTTTATTCCTAGAAGGGGGGAGTTATTGTCTGAATCTCATTAGTCTCAGAAGGAAGAAGAATCCAAATACCTGGAAAACTGATTTAATCAGGTATTTGTTTTATAGAAATAGGTCCTGATATCATCAACATATTAACTGTCAGTGCAAATTTTTCCTAATTAGAGAAATTTTACCTACGTAATATTTTTGTATACATATAGTTACAGAAACAAAGTCTCATATCCACCGCCTAATTTATTTTATTAGGACTGAATATTGGTTACAAGTTCAGTCCTGTGAGATGCAAATGAATCCCACTATTTATGAAACTTGACCTTCATTTGTTAGGGAAAGCATATTTGTTACAGTCTTAAAAACTGTATGTTTGGAACTGCTAGGAAAGAAGCAGACAAGTCAGACATCATTACTTCTAAATTGGTGATGTGTTTGCACTTCAACTACTCTGTTCAGTTCTGATTCTCCACTCCTCACTCTTCCTCTTCATCTTAAGAAACACAGAACTAGAGAGGCTACACAAGACATGAGAATGATCAAAAGCATGAAACTTCTTCCATGTGAGGAACAGCTAAATACACTGGGACTATTCATCCTAAAAAAGATCTGAATGGGAAAGATTGCAAGAGGTCTGTAAAATGAGAAGTTGCAGAGAAAGGTGAATAGAGATTGGTTGTACACTCTCTCTTATAGTAAAACAATGAGAGAGCATGTGATTAAGTTAGGAAGTGGTTCATTCAAAGCTTTTCATATGTTGTTATATGTTATTGTAATTTGCAATATTGCTTATAAATTATAAAAGCAATGGTTTGTTTAGTTCATTGGGCAGGTAACTGCTTGTCTATATAATTAATAGCAGCATGTAGGAAAAAAGACCTGTGATCAACTAGATAGTTGTAATAGCAGTGTAAACAGTAATTTTAATAATACTTCTGTTAATGTATGATAATATATAAATATGTAATATTTGTATATTGCTTTTTGTACAATAGATATTTCCTATAATGCTGTTTTATATATTTCTAAATCAATGTACCTATTACATTGATATAAAATATATTATATCAATTCTATTTTTAATGTGATCAATATTGTTAATAAAATATTAATATAACAATATCGATATTACCTAAGCTGCCTGCTCACTGAGTGTTTATTCCATTGCTATTTCTCCTATTTAATTTTTTAATTTTTATGTGATTGAATTTTAACTAAAGAAGTATACTTATGAGCTACACTGTTAAAGAATCACATTTTTCTCTAAAGGATTAGTTTACATGGATATACACCTTTTTTATAACAATGAAACCTGTAGACGGTTCCTCGAGTGTTAATCATTAGTAAAGTATTTTTGTGGTTTGTGAATACTAATGATGTTTCATGGTTTATTATACCCACCACCATTACAGTCTTGACTCATAGGGTTGCTTTTGAAGATTGTCAGGGAGTTTTATGTGATACAAAACACAGCTTTCTGGAGTAGACTGCACTTGTGCTGAGAGGTTCCCACTGATTTTTCTTATCCTGGAGTGAGTTTTGGTCTCCTCAGGTCTTAAGTCTGGGATCTAAATGGGATGTTTTTCATGTTGGTCAGATTGAGACTTTCCAAGACTAGCAACAGAGCTTTTCTAGTTAAGGGCAAGTTAATTCAGTTTGCACAGACTTTACAGCATAACAATATTTGACTTCAGGGTTGAATAATTTTATTGTTGTATAGATTTTTTTCTTTAAAGTGCCAGGGCAGTAATATGGTTAATGAAGCCCATCATTGGTAGATTGCATAACTAGACTAACAGCACCTTATCCAAAGAAGTGTGATTTATAGAATGGTGGAAGGAATACCAACTGTTCAGAAAGTAGAAACAGTTTCTACTTGCTCTTCAGCAAATAATAGAAGGGCAGCATTTGAGAAGCTACAGAGGCATCTGGTTTATGGGGCATGACTACTCTTTATGCATAACCAACCAACTTCACCTGTGCACAAATCTCCAATCATGATACCTATTTTCTTCTGTTCTTTGCATCTTGCTGTAGATTACATTTTTTGTGTCATGGGTGTGAATCTGAAATCTTGTTGTTGAGTCCAACCCTAACTCTCCCTAGAGTGGTAATTCATTTTTCAGCAGTACATACCATATGTTTAAGCCAAAAATATGAAATTTGATTGCTCTATATTTAGCTGAGTACTAACTGCAATATATTTGTATTTGGAGGAAAAAAAAAAAAAAAAAGGACGTTTCTGCTATGTGTTTAACTACAAAGATATAAACATTGAGTACAGATTTGTTTTTGTTAAATGCACTTTACTCTTTGAAGTGCAATAAAAGAAAATTTCATTCTGAAGGCTACGTAAACTCTAAAATTCTAAATAAGTACTGTTCTGCTCAATAAATTGGTAACTATTCATGGAGATTCAAATTAAGGAAACTGTGCTGTGTGTTTTATTTTATCCTTCTTTTTCCTTAACAGCCTGATTACTGTTGACCTGTTTAATTTACAAACACATACATACCTCTAAACTTTTTCCATAGATGTAATAGGTTTTTAATGTTTGAGGGGGCTGAAAGAATTGATTATTTTTTTATGTTTTATCTTGTGTTCTATTCTTTAGAGTACTCGAGTAGCTTTAGACCATCTGGAATCTGTTCCTGAGAAACTGGGCCTTTTAGAAGATTTCAAAGATACTGGAGTGAGAAGTATTTCATTTGACTCTTTCAGTAGTTCTAAAATCTTTTGGTTAACTACTGTCCTCTCCATATGTATAGATAAATTGGTTAATGAGATACTTAAAATTAAATGCATACATATTATACAGACAAAAACATACAGATGTTTGTTTTCATGTTTATACAGATTTTTTTTTTGTTGTTATAAATTTAGTCCTAATTAGTAGCACTGCTGAGGAGCTCCATAATGTAAGCAAACATTGATAACTGGGCATAGTAGGTCAAGTTCTAATTACTAGTTCAGTATATTTTTATTGAGTGGTGTTATCTGATATTACTTGTTAAAAAATGAAATTTTTGTAACAAAATAAATTATGCCAGTTATTATAATATTTAAAGTAATGAGTGAAAATAGGTGTGCTTTACAGCTTTTTGTTGTTGTGTTGACAGAATGCCAATAATTGTTACTTATTTTCCCAGTATCACTATGAAATCAAGGTGTGTTTGTTTGGACATAGTGACATATTGACAGTAGTGGTGGAGTACTGTCAAGAGTGATAAACCTCAAATTATCCTATCAAAATCTTGAGTGGCAAAGTGGCTAAATCACTATATTACTATTACTTTCCATACATGAAGTTGGTAATTTGCTAAAAAATAATTTGAAACCTCATTGCACAATACAAATTTTAAATCAGTATTAAATCATAGATGCTTAATAATTTACATTTTTTTTTCCTATATAGAATTTCTCGTCCTGAGGTAATCATAAACATTTAAAAACATACTTGTTTGGAACATTGTTTATTCTAAGTGTTCTTGTGTGAGGTCATGTGTTAATAATTGTTTGCTATTTTATTGCTGTCAATAACAGAGTTAGGTACACAAATGCTGATTGAAATGTTTGGGTTTTTTAAAGAAAAATGTTGTTGAACTGTATAGTTGTAATTTCACATTTGAAGTATCCTCAGAATAGCTTTTTGCTCTGACAGTGGTTGACATTTGCCTTCTGTTTCTGATGGCTCTGCACTGCTAAAGGAAAAATTCTGCTCTCAGCTAGGGAAAGCAGAAGCTTGAATGTGGGGTTTCTATAATCACCTTCACACTTGCAGTCTCTTACTTAATATTGATATGAAATGATGTTGCCATTTTCTGCTTTGCTGTAGTTATCACTTAACCACCATTTGTGAGACTGGAACCCAAATTCTTTGGTTTAATTTGAGCTCTGTTCTTCTCTCCTGATGCTTTGTTTTTTTAAGATGTTTTCTTAAGATGAGTCCCTACCAACAACTGTGTGTTGTTCAGTAAATTTATTATTCAAGACAGCTAAGCTTTATACCTTAGTTGTGAGAATTATGTCAGTTTGGAGTTTCATTAATTCTTCTATTTGAAAATAATACACTGGATTTTTTTGTACTGCAGCATAATTTACTCTCAAGTGGTATGCATGATTGAAATATTTCAAAGCCAGTCATTGCTTTCCACTGCTAGCAAGTTCTATCCTCAATGTTTTCATAGGAAGGGAGAAGGAAAGAGAAAGTAAATCTTTGATAATGCCTCACAAGTTGCCTCATAGTTGTATTAATTCATTCATAGTGGACCATTAGCTACTTCAGTGAGAAGTGTTACATTTTCTTATTTAAAAATATTGTTTAGTCCGTATCCTTAGAACACTTTTTTTTTTCAAGTGCTTGTACCGTATTGTAATTAATGTTTCATCATTATGGAATTTCTGTGTTAGAAGGAATGGTATCACAGAATTTTGGAGTTACAAGAAATTGTTCATCAGTTAAGGATGAGGCCATTCATTTTTTAACCTATTTTCATTTTAACATTACTTTTCTGTACAGAAATTCTACTTTCATATGGCATAATTCTACTTTCATATGGCACTTGTATTTCAGCTTCTGAAAGTTGGTGATTATTCATTCTTGCTGTACTGAAAATTCTTGGTGTGATAGCTGTGTTTATAATAGCCAGCCAACATTTATTAACTGCTTTTCACATTACAAAATCGTTTAGATCTTTCAATGCATTTCTAGGAGTCCCATTGCCGAAGGGAGATGATTGAGGAAAGGTATACAAAGTATAAAGAAATAGTGAGTTCTCTACAGCAACAGCTGGAAGATTCAAAACAAAGAGTCCAACAATTCAAGGTATGTGTGTGTGCTGTACTTTTGTTTCCTGATTAGTTTCAGTGAGCAACATGAGCTTGTTTGATGTATATTAACTCTTAGTACAACCAGAGACAAAAATCACACACAAATGGTTCTGGTTTATGTAGCTGCCATGGGTGATGTAAAATTTGATAACAGAAGTATTGTCTTCATTATAAATTGCCATGGATACTTTCCAAAAATCTTTAAAATTTCATTATAAAGTGTCTAACCATGTCTTAGTACTCTGAAGTGTTTACCAGTTTTGTCAAATTGCTGTCTACAACATTTTTTTTGATTGCTTTGTTCAATTTTCCCTTGTTCTTTCATCTAAAAGATAAATATAGTAACCTGTTTCCTCTATTAAAAGGATGATTAATTTGTAGATGGTATATATTGATTTTTCAGTAGTTGATCTTTGCATTCTTTACAAAAGATACTGTATGATATCTCTTTCATACACAAATGAAATCCAAGCAAATAGAAGTGTTTTGCTAAGGGTCACTCAGCAGACTGATAGCACTGCTAAGCATAATTTCCTAACTCCCTGCAGTACAAATACAGTGCTCTTGTTTAGAAACATTGCCTGTAATGAGTTCACTTTTCCAATTGTTAACACACTTTCTTTCTCTTCATATTAACTTGTTCATCGTCGTATCACTTCTCACTGTATGTCATTGTGATAGCAGTTTATTTTGGCAGAGCTATGATTTCTTATGGATGTGGTTGAAATAAGTAAAATAAATGATCAGAACTGAAAAATTCTGCTACTTATAACAATCAATCAAGATTCTTCGGCACTGAATCTTGCCAGGGTCTCTATAAGAAGTTGAGCTCAAAATCTAGGATCATATACCATGTATCAAAATACTTTAAGCTGTTTGTGTTCCCCACCTCCTTCACAGCAGTATTCCTTCTGTAAAATGAGGACATGCTTGCCAGTAGGTCTTTTAAAAAGTGGAAAAAATAAAATAAATACAGAATATTTTAGTTTAGTAAGTTGCTGTTGTAAGAAGATGGCATTAAGCTACTTAAAAATCTATCTCGCTCTTCTGTAAGAAAGAATCGAAAGGAAGGAACAGGACAGGTTCACTTTCAGTCTGTTGCTAATGATAATCTTCAGGTTTTTTAATTTCTCTGGCCTTCATACGAGTTATTAATTCAGTAGCCATAGAAATTTGGAAAACATTGAAAAGCTAAGTGGAATGCAATCAGCTGACAGTAGAATATAATATTGCACTAAGCTGACTGAACTTACAGAGCTTGCATGATTTGAACTCTATATTCAGAATCCAGTATAAAGCTGATTCCAAAACAATATTTCCTCTTTCTTTAGACAACAGAGAGCATTTAATGGCTTCCATTTAGTCAGGCCTAATTGGGTTTTTGCATGACAGAGAGTACTTTTTGCTGTCACAGCTGTTAGAAATAGAACAGAATGTTCAAAAACAAGTAACAGACGGGTGCTAATCTGATTTCAGTGATCAGGCTAGCTTAGTCTAAGAAAACCCTTTCTAATGCTTGCCTTTCTTACCCTCCCTTGGAACTAACTGAAATGCATTATTGTTTAATTTTCTTTATTTTACTATTTGTCAGTTGGGAATCTCTAAATCAATAGCTGGAAGAGTGTAGGCTTGAGGATATCAAAGTCCATTCTTTATGACAGTTTTGATTCTTGCTCTGTACACAACATAGTGCTTCTGCTATTCAAAGTAGACAGATATTTGGTAGATGATAAGAAAATGCATGTTTTAAAAAAGGGAGTTCTTGTAAAATTTTTACAAAGATCATTTTAGATAGGCTAATTCCAAAAGTAATTTTTTCTCCTCTGTTATGCTCTTCTTTCTAGCCTTTATTGTAATAGAGTTTTTTTCCAGTTTGCTTGCCAACATTAATCTCAGACAGGCATTATCTAATCCTGTGTCCTAGCCTCTTTTCATTTTAAGGAGCAAAACTGAAATTGCAGTTGAATGTTCCCCTAGAAACAATTTTCTTCCTTGATTTCATTTGTCCCCATTCAATCTTCCTACTCCTCTGTAGTCTTGTAAGATGACTGCAAAATACCTGTTGATTAGAAGTCTTGGAATATCATAATTGCTATTTTTATGTGCTAAAATTTAATATTTCCAGTAATGAAGGAGGCCAGAGGCTGGCAGAATACCATCAAGTACAACAATTACGATCTTTCAACTAAGAAAGGGGTGAGGCATAGTAGATAAACCAGAAATTGGGGAAAAGAAGGTAACTATAATGTATAAAAATAAAATAAATAACAGATAAATACCAACCAAAGCAAAATCAAAAGAGAAGGCTAGAGGAAAACTAAAAATAAATATTATGATGGATGGATGCAAATATTTTAGGACAGTTTCACTGCCACAAACAACTGACCATCTAATCAAACACAGCATGCATATGTAATTGTAAATGATGCACATAAGAAAAGTTTAAATTCCTATAAACAGAAAGTAATTTTGTATTGCAGATGCTTGTAGAAGCACCTTGCTTGTTTAAAAGCTCTGTTCTAAGGTAGCAATTCTGAAAGCAGACTGAAAAGGCTAAAACTTTTTTGTATTCTTTAAAAGTTGTTACAGTGCTATGTACACTTTCTATATTAAGTCTCTCATCAGCACATAAAGGGATTCATATGTATAGTTCCCATTAGTCTTAACAGGAGTAAATCCCTCTTCAGTGATGGGACAAAAGCTCATTGTATCTCTAAATTAATGTTGAATTTTTGTCTTCTGTTTAGTTTCCAAATCTTAGTATCAGCATGAATGATAAATTGCACAATGTTTTAACAAAATTCACTGGGGATGTGTATGATAAGAATTCAGTAGCAAAATTTAGTGTTTTATAAACTGATGCATTTGTGCATTATTATATCTTATAATTTCAAGAAAGAATAATTTGGATACCAAGCCAAGCTTTTAATCTTATTTTGGAAGGTATTGCACCTGGGGACTACTTGCTGCAGTGCTAATAAAAATTTACTGAGATTTTTGTTTAAATGGCCTTTTTAAAATTATCATCCTTTTTTAGCTTATAGACCAAATGACTTTACTCACCCAAAAGCTACACTGTATGGGTCTAACCATAAACAGTAACAGTGTACTTTAGACTTTAATAGTTTAACAAAAAAAAAAAGGAAAAGCAACTTCAGGTATTTTGATATGCAAATCAACAAAGTTTGAGTTTCCTCAGTGGCAGGGAAAGTGGATTTTTTTTATTACTACTTACTTGTGGAAATTCAGTGAATTAGTGTGGACCATTCATTGATAAGGAATTCATCATTCACTGATGTCTGCCCTGCCACTATGCTTTATCCTGAACTGTGGATGTGATGGAAACAAGAAAGGGAGCATTTTTACAACTTATTGTAGGGACAAAACTTGCAAATCTCCAATGCTTTTCTAAAGGAAAAGCAGATCTTGCAGAGATTTTGTAACGATGAAGTGAGCCTGAAATTCATAAGTAAGTTAATGTGAATCTAACTGCAACATTGAGAATTCTGAGAACTCAAATTAGTATTTTGCAGCATGTGTGAAATCACAGCATATACCTGTATGTATGCTACTGTATGTTTTTTGTTAAAGTTTACAGCTGCTTGATATTAACAGATATACATTATTTTTGTCTGCCATAGGATGTGAAAATGGATACTGAAATTTCTGATGTAGAATTGGCTGTTCCCTCTTCTAGTTGGCGAACTCAGAACAGCTTTCTGTCCAGCTCACTGCTCTCAGATTCAGGTTGTAAGTATTGTTTCACAGAAAAAATCTACAAGTAATGTATTTTCCTTTTTCAAAACTGTTTTACTTAGGAGAGCAAGGCACTACATTTTTGAGAAAAACAATGCTAGAACCATCTTAAGAGTCCTCCTGTGCTTTAGTTTTAGATACTGGGTGGATGCCTTTGTCTAGGAAGTACTTCATTACATCCCACTGATAGTTGTTTGGGTTTGTTTAACTGGGACATAAAATATATTCTGTTTGTCATCCAAACCTATGCCAAAAAGAAAGTGCTGCACTTGGATTCTGAATCTCTTCATGAAGAATCTGAGCTGTGTAAAAGCTGTGTATCTTTCCAGGGACCAAAGAGACATCCTTGGTCAAGGATTCTTTCCCAGATCTTTTGTTTGTACCAATTAGTCTCATGCTTGTGTAGCAGTTTAACAGTGGAAGTTGAATTCAATAATTCTGCTTCTACTTCATTAGTTGTTTTTAATTATTCTTTCTATCCCTTAGTGCATATACAACTTGTCATGCAAAGTCACAGGATTTCTGTAACAGCTAGGAACTGCTCAGTAAAGGATATGGCATATTAGATCCATATCTGGTACAGACACACCTTTGCATGAGTGTCAAAACTAACCAAGTTTTTTTTAAGGGTTTTTTTTTTGTATATCAGCACATGGGTATCAGAATACTTTTCTTCAGAAGGATATCACCTTCCATTTCTTTTCAAGAGCCAGTTTGTGTACTGGAACCTATTCAGTAAGTTGCATTCTATGTAATGGAAAGTCCTATTTCAGGCTTCATTGCACTTTCAAACCTTTTCATAGAATGAGTGCTGCAGTACATACTGCTCACCAGTAAGTCCTGAGCTGATCTGATGAGGTTAAAGATAATTGATTTATTTTTCTTTCAGAGTCTGTGGGTTGTGATTAACATCTTTTTTTCAGAGCATACTGAATAACAATAGTGGGGAAAAAGCATAAGAAGAGCAAATGCCTCCATCTCATCTGTACTTCAGGAACAGTTTCCCCTGACTCAGAGTTGTTTTTCCATTTTCCTTAAACTCGTCCCTGTCAGTGTCTTTCATGTCAAAGTACAGCTCAGCCTGGTTGGGGTATAGAAAAGAAATAACCTATACCTTGGAGGCATGTTGGACTAGATGACCTCCAGTGGTCCCTTCCAACTTCCACAACTCTGTGATTCCACTGCAAAAACTTGCTGAAATTTAAAGATGCAGCATAAATGTTCCTAAAATATTACAATATGTTTATATTGCTTAACCTGAATGGAACTTGATAAGACTTTGTTACTTTAGTACTTTTTAATCAGTTTTAAGCAGTTGTCAGAGAAATAGGATCCATGTAATCTGAATACCAATCTGGTGAACTAGTTCTGGGTATTTATTCTCTGTTTCGACCAGTTTTTACTGGCACTAAGATTTCTGGAGGTAAAAAAAATAAGCGATGAATGAAAGACGTTGATTCAGTGTTGATAATTATGAAATATTTGCAAAGTTTTCAGCATTTGAGGAAGGCTCCTTTTGAAATCATGTTCAGGCATGGCTGATGGGCTTCTTTTGTTTTTCTTGCTTAAAACTTTTAGAAAGGTATTTTCCACATTGTAAATTAAGCTGATCTTCATATTTTCCAAATCACAGAATGGTGCTGAGGGTTTTTTTTAGTTTTGTTCTTTTGCCCAGATGGTAAAGAGTTATTTTTAAATTTTTTTTTTTTTAAAAGGCAAAAAATAAGAAAATGGTGATTTTATTTTTTTCCACTTTTTTCTATTTGTTTTTAAGGGAAAGGAACTGGATACAAAAGTCTTTAGAGTTCTAGTTTCTTACTTGTATTCTATGAAAAATCCATTAATTAAATTTTCTGAGGCTAAACAGAGAAGTAGGCATAGAATATTTTTCCAATACTTGATTTGATTTGACTCTGATAAAATGAAGGTGGTGTTCTTAATTTCTCACTTGGTTGTTTCTTTTCCCCCAAGAGTTAGTCCTATTATATGTTCTTTATGCTTAGTAAGCAAGTATGAGAGCAAGTCAGGTGCCTGTTGAAGATGTCTGATGTCATTTTAGATGTCCTAGAAATATGCTTCTAGCTGTCATTCCAGGAAGGCATGGTTTTCCCATCAGTCCTACCACATCTTACACAGCCCTTTGCAGATGTCTGTGGTAGCTTATGGCACTAAGCTGTGTGAATTACTGCATAGACTTTGGTTAGTGACTGAATGTTTTACTCTTATGTCGAACTTAATCTCCACCAGTCAAATGTGTGTTTTGAAGTTGTTGCTATAGTTCTCGAGGACAGTAAAAATTCTGCAGTGGTATTAACATTAAGGAGCTTTTCTTGTAATTGCCAGTGAGTGGCAGATCAGCGACTTCAGTCATATTAGTCACATAAATGCCATGAACTTTTAATTTCAGTAGTGATATCAATTAGTTATAATTTGAGACTTTGACAGCGAGGTATGGTTTGAGGTCTTTTGCTCCCAAATCTCCTATAGCTTTTAATAAATCTACCTATAAATGTCATCACCTATTTTGTGTGGTTAATTTATCTCATTACTTCTTCAAAACCAGAAGAATGGACTTTCATTTACCTTTTGAGCAATTTGCAAGCCTTTGTGATTTAATGTTTCCCCCTTCCATCACTCTTAAATTCTGAAAACTTTATAAACTGTAGAGTCAATAAGTATTACTAGAAGGTGTCCTCCCAATATGGGGGCCTTATGAATTGTAGGGAGCACCAGGGTGGAGAGCCAGACACGTTATTATATCACAAATTCTATCAAATAATTTATCTGCAAGGTGGATCCTGGAATTTAAGTTTAAAATTAATTGAAGAAAGAAGAGAAAAAATTATGAAAAAAATAAATAAGGGAACGTCTGCTTCCATATATATACATTTAGTAAAAAGTTGCCAATTGCAGTGGTCACTTAAAAGGAAAGGTAATTAACTTGAACGTTCTTCTTTTATGTCTGGTCTTCATGTTTCTGATATAATTTCTACAATTAGCTTTTCCATAGCAAACTATTTTAAAGATGCTGTGGGAATTACCTTTTATTTCTGTACTCATTTTCTTAGAAAGGAAGAAGTTTAAGTGAAAAAATTTATATGAGGAAGCATTCATTAGACATGGTTTCCAGTCTGTATTATTATCAGACCAAAACAGTTGGTCTAAAAAGTCATTACTGCTTGTTATCTAAAGAATAATCCTCAGATATTGTTTTTCATGATGACTCTATTTTTCTTTAATTCTGTATTACAAAGGTCCCTAGAGTTACACATGCTTTGCATTAGCTTTGTGAATTGAGTCTTGCCTTTCTCTTTGTACAGTTCATCACTTCAAGGTTTTAACGTGGATGGTGTCCCAGAAGCCATATGGCTTTCAGGCTTTCTATTGTTGTTGGGAATTTATGTTCCAGGGCTTCATAAGCTGTGACTTTATGGAGAAAATAGCCACCATTTTTTGCAATTTTTCTAGCTAGGATCACAGTCTTCCCTGGCCCTTTGTCTCTGGTGATACACAACACTCTTGTGTCAACATGGTATACAGTAGGAATGATATAACAGTTAAATAAAAACAAGTTGTTCTGAATGTGGATTTTATTGTCATAACAATTAATTCCTGCAATATATGCTGATGTCTGTCTTTATCCCTCTATGTATAGTTTTTCATAATTTCTAAGACTGTTTGTATTGACATTTATAAATAATTAAAAGTAAAAAGACATTGTAACATCATGATGATGTGGGACACCATTCTAGAACAAAATCTTCTAAGGCCGCTCAGGGACAAGAACATGGAATGATTGGAAACTTGACATCATCACTTTGAAAAATGCAAATTGATTTAGTTTAGCAATGAATTTTCTTTATGATTTTTCACTTTACTTGGAACCTCCTGTTGGTCAGTACTCAACTGAAATAGCGTACAGTGGAATAGTTTTGGACCAAACTTTATGCTGAAAAAATAACTCACTGTTTTACTAGTGTCACAGACACAGTGATTTCACTCTCCTTCTGAAAGTGAAAACATCTCACTTCTCCTAATCAAACTGTGAAGACTTGCTTCCTATTAATAACTTTTGACTGTATACTGATACAACTTCAGTAGACTATTAAAAATGTCACTCTGCGTATTTATTACAATCAGGAAGGACCACTTTTCTTACACACTTATGATATAAGGAAGGCCATTAAGAGAAGGGTATGTTGTATAAGCCGATATCCACTTTCTTCCCCTTAATTTCTTCCTTTTGTTAAGTAATTGCTAGATGTTTAGATGTTTGGATTTTTTTCCTCCAACACTTTATCATAAGATGTTCTGTCAATTCGTATTGTCTAGATTTTGATGCAATATAATGTATGTATAAATGAGTATTGTGTATGCACCCTGCTGTGAAGATATATATACACATTATGGCATCTTATGAACAGCTATTCAGTGTCACTTTATGACTTTAGTCCATGCTATTGGTAAAGATATTTCTTGGGAAATTTTCTGAGTGGTTTGTTCTGTCTTATTTAAACAAAAATACTGGGAAAGTGTGGGGAAAAAATGGAGAATAAATGTTAGTGGAATTATAATTTTTTTAAAATGCAGTTTGCATTTTGCTGTTTAAGAAAGGTCTTGACTATGCATGTATTATATAGTACTAAAATTTATTTAGAAAAATCAGTCAGTTTTTCAATTCATAGCATTATGAATATTTGTGTGTAAATTATGTTACATTGATAAACATTGTTCATAAACATTGATGGTCAGTCAGCAAAATGTATGTGTTTCTCTGAAGGTGTTCATTAACTTTTTTTGTCTGACTTCTTTCTAGCACTTACGAAAAGACTGGTTCCTTTTGATACAAGTGCCACCAAGGAAGATTCCATTAGTGAAATAAAGCTGCAAGCAGAAAGTGGGAAGCAGTAGAACATTTTATAAAAACACACCAGTTTTCTCTGTGGTAAATTCCATTCCCCTCCTTTTTGGGTTTGAACAGTAGTAATTCCATCTACTGTAGGAGTGATGCAACCTTAGCGATTCAGCTATTGCCAAATGCTTAAATGAAAGAGGACCAAGAGTGAGTCTAATGCACTCGTGATAATTTCTGTAATTTGTACACCAAAGGTTTTCTGGCATTATGCTGTTCTCTTGTATTTGTTTTTGCAGGCCTCCTAAACTAATTTTATGGTATTCCTGACATACTATGAAATGAAAAACCGATGACGTTAATCTTTGCTATGAGCATATTAACCTGTGTACAGGAATTTTTCTAACATTTGGGTTTTTATAACATTTAGTAACATTATTAATAATGAAAACATAATCAGAAATTACCTTTGTATTAATATTTATTCTGAGAGTCATTATGCAGTGTTGTGCGGGCACATTTGTGATTTTAGGTTCTTCAGTTTGCCACAATCTTTTAAGACAAAAGTGATAAATATTAAACAAAACTAAAATTTCCTCAAAATCAGTGGAAATTCATATCATGATTTCAGGTTCAGTGTATATCTGTTATAAGATGTTCAGAATTATTTTTCTGACCAGAACAGTTTTATCAGATGACCTCTGGTAAGGCCCTTAACGGCATCTGAATCTCACCCATCTCTATTAAGCATGTTGAAGGGCAGTGCTATGTGGCTGTGAAAAGTTTAATAGCAGGGTTTCATGATCATTTATTTATTCTGTTTTGTTCTCTATTAGAAGAGATGTGTCATATTGATTTAAAAAAGTTATGGAAATACAATATTACACAGGTGTATTTGTTTGGATATCTGTATTCAAAAAAAAATTGGATACAATTCTGTGTTACTGTGTCTCAAACAGCACATCACAGCAGAATTTTCTTCTGTCACAAGAAATACAAGTGTTTCTGGTTCTTGTTTTGTTCTCCTTTCTAGTGCTTCTGGTTGAACCACTACTAACGTGCCTTTAAAAAACCTGCCAAATCTATCAGATTGTAGCAACATGAACAGCATTGGAACCATTTTGTTTTGTAGGCTCCTTTCTTATTTAGGAATCCTACTTCTCTGACACAGTCTTTTTTTAATCACTGTAGATGTCTCAGGCATAATTTGCAGGTCACTATGTGCCACGTGAAAATGGGACCTTTTATTTTTTTTTTTTCTTCATTTGTTAAATTTTCTGAAGTGTACTGCAGTCCCAGTAGGTTCTTTGTACAGTGAACCTACTTGATAATGCCCTTGTATTCATCCTGTTTCAAACAGTACTTCTTTCTGAGAACATCAAAATCATACAAGGAAATGAGAAAAATATTTAATTCATTTTTCTTTCGTTTTCTATGCACTTATATGACTTAAAATTGTAAAAATTTCTAATTTGGTTTAAAAAGTTTTCTTTGCCTTTTGTATATGTATAATGCTGTGCATTGTAGTGCTGGCATTGGCTTTTTGCAGACTTCTGGCACATCTACTCATTCAGAAGGTCAAGAAAGCAAAACAGGCACATCCATCTCGTGATCTCAACAGCAGTGACAGGGCCAAGACAGAAACATAAACAAATTAATTTCTACTCTGGGAAGGCGGGACAAATAGAAACCTGTTTGTTTCATGGTCTACAAAGAGTGTGGATATCATGAAGCCGTATTTAGCTCAAGCCACAGTTACCATAAACTAAACCTACTTTAAGTGTATTCAACATTTGTAATTTATTTTTTTAATTAGATCAGATCACAGCTGGAAATATGGTGTTTAAAATATTTTAGCTGGTTTGCCTGGTGAAACATTAAAAAATTGGAAAATAAAATGTCACCAGCTTGCAGACTTTATGGTACCTACAAGTTATGGCTAAAAGTATGGAAAGGTCATTTTAAAATACATTACAAATTGGTAATCATGCTCCCAAAACACCTCATGTTGTAATGAGGTCTGATGCATGGATTGCTGATGGATAAATATATGCCCAAACCACTTTACTGAAGTTGAAACAATTTTGGGATAAAGTGCCTGTTGGTAAATGGATGGAGCTTGAAGAGTCTCAGCTGAGAAGTAATACACAGAAAAATAATATCCTCTCTTTGAGTTTCCTCAGGAATTTGTAAAAGTCAGAAATCTGGTATGTTTCCTTAAAACGGCATCACTACTGCTTTATAGTGTTAGAATGCTATAAGCAGTCTGAACTCCCTCATTATTACATCAAGTATTAAATTGATTTGTGAACATGCAGGACAGAAACATCTACTAGATGAATAATTTTGGCTTTAAGACTTTAAATATGCTCAGTGCTTAGTATAGTTGCCTTTGGCCATGTGACTGAGGTTTCAGCAGAGTTTTAGATCCTTTTTAAAAATTTTCTAAAAAGGCTGGAAGAACCAGAAGGGAAGAAGTCAAACCACAAAAAAAGAGAGGAATTTTTAATGAGTAGGCTTACAGACTCCAAAGCCAGGAAATTCTTTCTTAAATTTACCCTCTTGGCATGGCAATCCAGATAGCATGTAATATTCGTCTGTCTTCCACCTTTGATAGAGGTTCATATTACAAAGTGAATTTTATTTCCTTTTTACTGAGGGCTAAAGTTCCGTTCATGACATTATGTGAAACTGTCCCTTTGTGGTTAAAGAAATAATATTTTTTCCATATTGGCCTGAAATAATATTCCTCTGACCAGTTTCAAAGTAGAAAACCAGATAGTTTTTTAGTAAAACATTTTGTATATTTCAGATCTTAAAAATTGCTGCCCCTTCTGGCAATCAGATTTTTTTTTTTAATACTTTAACTCTTTAATGACCTGTTTTTAAATTCTTGCCCAAAACAGTAGTTTTCAATAATCAAAAAATGTGGTATCATACCTGAAAATGGTGGTTGGTTGGTTGGTTCTGTTCAGCATTTTGTAAATCAGGCAACTTTTGTATGTATGTACTAAGTGCATACACATATAACAAGCTAATATCAGACATCCATGGTTTTTTAATGCTGTCCTGAAATAGTCATTCAATATTGTGTTTTCAGAAATGCACTGGCCCTTTATTTCAGCATCAAATAATTGTCACTTGAATAACCTTTAAATTATATTGCCCTTCAGTTCCTTAATGTTTTGCAGCAGACTTAAGAGTACTTATTTTTAAATACCTTTGAGATGATATTTACTAAATATTCAAAATAATTAATTTTTATTATGTAATTATGTCAACCTAAGAAGAAACATCAAAATAAAACTTAGTCCAGGATAAAAAAAAATTAAATTTTCAGTGTAAAACAAAGCAATTTTCTTACATTTACTTCTCACATTTTTTATGGAAGCCAGTTTTCAGTGATGGTGAAAGTATTTCTTGGATATTCAAACGTCAGCCACATTTTTACTAGCTATCCCACCAAAATAAATAAAGAAAATATTCTGAAATTCATTAGAAGAAATAAAATACTATTTAAAAATCCACTTTTGAGCCAAGGAATCTGCATATCAGTTCATCTCTGGCTTACAAGGCATATTCTGTGCACTGAATGGATTTTTCATGAATGAAAGTGCCAATATTAGCCTGAAAGTAAACAAGTAGGTATTTTTGTAACACTGATACCATTTTTATGGCTAAAAATTAGTAGTATGAAATCTGAATACATTCTCATATCTACAACACACAGAAAAACTTATTCATTAATTTATTTGGGACTGCTTGTTACAGTCAAATATTACCATGGCTTTGTTAAACTCTTCTTGTTCAAAGTATTAGTACTATATTTATCACTCTCTAAACCCTGTCTTCACCTCCCAGAAGTAATTGATACTGAAGTTAATGTGAGCTGCACGCCAATATCTGGGGATGCAGTCTTGTCAAAAATGGATGTGCAGGAGAACATCACACAAATTCCTGGTTTTTTGGGCTAGTTGTAGAGTTTAGAAGCAGATGTAGAGAAAAGCTAGTAGTAGAAGGAATGGAAATCTGCTCATGCTTAAATTAAAATTTCAAACCACTTTTATTTTTGGTGTCTTAATTTAAAAACTGCTTTAGAGCTAGTATTTACATGTAAATATACATGATCCCTAAATAAGATTCCATCTTGGATAATTTTTTTTTACATGTTAACATACTTTCTACTCTAGCACAACTCATCTCAACTCTTTGCTGTAATCATGCCTAGGCTGTTGTGAGTATGAACAGATTTGTTTTTCTGTATAAAGAATGAAATGAGATTTTAGATCTGAAGAACATTTTAGTGCTGTATACAGAAGTACAGCAGAGCAGAATCTGATAACTTCAGTCTTTCAGAAATCTGTAAACCAATGCCTCTGTAGACAACAAACTTAACAAAAATGAGATTGCTGTGGTTAAATACAGCGGCATCCAGCATTTATCATTTGTGCTAACAACAATAGCTCTCATGTTTCTAAAGCTAAAGTTGCACATCTGCCATTTCTCAGGCTATAAGGATGAGATTTTGTTTTCTCTTGCCTTAATAGTGGCAAAATCTGCAATATCATGAGCATTAAGAAAATACGCAGTGATGATATTTTTAAAATTTCTAGTAATTTTAATTAGGTACCTACTTGGTGCTATTTGGAACTAAGTATTTTTGGAACCTGGTTTTTAACATGTTTTCATTAAAGTATTACATTTAAATACAAGAACTACATAAAGATCTCTTCTAGGATAAATCTGCTGTCATTATTTAGGGACATGGCTTCTTAATAGGTGTTTTGCTTGAATCAGTACTGCAATTGTTCCTGAGTTGTATGTTATGTTCATCTGTCTTCACACCAGCATTGTTTTGCTCTTAGACTGGTTTTCTAGTATGTCAGAAGACATACCATCATTTCTTCACTTACCAATGTTAATAATTTTGGTAGTTGATATGCCTAGGGAATGATATTAATTTTGAAGGCAGTTGTTTCTTATAAGCTCTTTTCAAATAAATTCTGCCAGTCATAATTGCTTACTAAATTAAAACCTACTTGGTAAACTGACTAACATCAGAACACATGCTGCCTAATTTTAAAGGATATCCCACAGGCAAAAGTAAATATGTCTTACTACACTTGTCTAGATTTTTCTAAATGCTACTATTCATTCTACTATCAGTTTGTAGAGGAAAATAGTAAAGGATAGACTTTGCTGTAATAACCCTGAAAACTATTGATTCCAGACAGAAAGAGAGACTACAGCTAATTTAGAAGATATGAGTAAGTGCTTAGTTGAAAACCTAAAATACCTCATATTGCAAAGTATATTTCTTCAGTATGTCAATATCCAGTTGCCCTCAGTAGAAACAGTTGCTGACATCTAAACATTTCTGAGAAGCAATATTGAAATTTGCTGAAGAAAATAATAGAATCATAGAATCATTTAGTTTGGAAAAGAAGTTTAAGATCATCAAGTCCAACTGATCACACAGTGTCATTCTGCAAATATCTATTTCTGTGTCACTCATTATTAAAGAAGGATTGAACTGGGAAGTCAGCCCAATTTACGTTCTGGCATTAAGGTCTTCACAGAAACCACTAGTGACCCAGTTTTATACTTAGTGTGGAAAATGCTGAAGATGAGCTGTGTTTTACTGCTGGCTAAGAGAACAGTTTGCATCTGTGGCATAAGCTATTTTGTGTATGGAGCTCAATGAGTGCACCATTTCTGATGAGGCTTTAACTGCTGGGTGCACCACTGACAACACAATCCCATCCAAACAGCCGCAACCATGAAGACGACATGTAGCTGGCAGAATTTTTGTACATAGAATGTCAGTAAGTCCATCAGAAACCATGGAGTTGTTTGTTTTGTTTTCACTAGAGACGTCCCCAGCGCAGTCATAAAGCTATAAAATGCAGAAACCTTAGTCAGTGAGCTACATCAGCAGTGAGGCTCACTAGCCACACAATGTGAATCTGTTAGCCTGTTGTCCATTGATTGATTAGAGGTCTGTAAGTTAACAAAAGACTAATCAACAAAGTTTTTAAAAAGTGGGACAAATTAATCTTATTTGATAGATAAAAAAATCTCTGTGAAAATGGAAAAATTAAGTATCAGAGTCATGAAAAACTTGAAAAAATTTTTCCAGAATGCAAGTAATTTTTAACTTTACTAGAGTGACAGCCTCTTATAGACTGTTTTTGAAGGCCCTGAATATATTAATCATCAGACATCAATCCCACTTCATGTCATCTCATTGTGAGAGATTTGCTTGCTTTGATTTGACTTAACTGTGTCCCATACTTTGGGAAATTCCATTATGTACGCTGTATCTCAGACTTAGAATACTTCCACTGGTGATAGCTAATGTGCTACGTATGGAGTGCTGGC